TATATGAATTTTAAAATCGGCCAATTTCTGTTCAATAATGTTTTATAGTTTTCATAGTTTAAGTTTTGCATTTTTGTTGCACTTACTCCTGAGCATTTTATTCTTTTTTTGTTATTGTAAATGGAATTGTTTTTGAAGCTTCATTTTTGTAGTGTCCATTGCTACTGTATAGAAAAATAAATGATTATGTATACTGATCATGTATCCTTCAACTTTGCTGAATTTGTATAGTAGTTCTGGTATAGTAGTTTTAAGTTTTTTTGTGGTTTCTTTAGGATTTTCTAAACACAAATTCATGATACCTGCAAATAGGTAATTTTTACTTCTTCCTTTATCAATCTGGATGACATTCATGCTCTTGCCTAATTGCCCTAGACAACGTTGATTAGAAGCAAAGACAGTGGACATCCTTGTCTTGCTCCTTATTAACGGGAAAGTATACAGACATCCACCACTAAGTATGATGTTAGCTTTGGAAGTTTTGTAGATACCATTTATTAGAGTAAGTTCCCTTCTATTTCTAGTTTGAGTGTTTTTTTAAGTCACAAAGGGATGTTGAATTTTGTCAAACGCTTTTTCTGCATCTATTGAGATAATTATGTAATTTCTTTACTTATATGGCACATGATTTTCAGATGTTAAATCACTTTGCATTCCTGAGATAGCCAAAAATTACTCTTTTAAGTTTCTTGATTAGTTTAGTCCCCTATCCTGATATTGTAAACTGAGCTTTAAAAATTCCTGCCACTTGCAGCTTTACCTGTATTGAATCAGCCTCTTCTGCAAATAAGCACAACACCCAAAAAACAAACAAAACCAAGAAACCAAAACAAAAGAATGCTGAGGCCAATGTGTAAACCTTAAAACGTATAACCCCAATTTCAAATGTTTGTGTTCATCTGACCGCTCTTATTCACTTATGTCTGAATACTAATGTGACCTTATAATAAACTCAAGTAATTAGATACATTTATTAATATGTAAGGATTTGGTTCAAGATTTCATTTAAAAATATTCCCAGGCTTTACATTTTTATTTAACTTATTATTAATGATCTCATAACTTTGTAACTAATAACTCCAATATTTTTACTGGAATGCTATTTAAATTAATTCCTTGTTGCTTTTAAAAGTACTTTTTTTTTTTTAAAGATTTTATTGGGGAATTGGGGAAGGGAACAGTGTTGGGGAATTGGGGAAGGGGAACGTTGTGTTTTTCCAGGACCCATCAGCTCCAAGTCAAGTTGTTGTCCTTCAATCTTAGTTATGGAGGGTGCAAGCTCAGTTCCAAGTCCAGTCGCCGCTTTCAATCTAGTTGTGGGGGAACAGCCCACAACCATCCCATGTGGAAGTCGAACTGGCCACCTTCTTGTTAAGAGCATGCACTCTCACCAGCTGAGCCATCCAGGCGCCTATTGGCGGCTCAGCTAGGGTGCAGCTCACTGGCCCATGAGGGAATCGAACCGGCTACCCTGTTGCTCAGAGCTCATGCTCTAACCAACTGTGCCACCCAGTTGGCCCCAAAATACTTTTAATTTGTGCTCTGATCACTTGTTCAATGATGCTTGTCATCACAGAGATGCAGACAAAGAAGCAGGAAGTCACTGTTGTTGCATGCCCCTAAATGACTTTCAGCGAATTTAAAGAGCTGGTCCCTTTTTTTGTTTCCCCTTTAATTTTTCTCTTTCTCCTTCTTTGGGAGCCAGACATTAAAAACCAGGGCATTTAAAAGCAACTGCTCAAAAAGGCAAAATTAGAAAGTGACATGCCTAGGAAAAAGTATAGGCTCAGAAAAGAATGCAGAAGAGCTTAAGTTCACATCTCAGGCTGGTCCTCAGAACAGAAACAGCC